ATCACGTCTCTGACACGAATTTTAACTAGGTTAAATAATAAAAAATAAAAAATAAACCGGCTATATATGAAAACATGTTGTTGTTGTTGTTGTTGTACATTCAAACGACTTTGGGGGGCACTGGTGGCCCAGTCATCTAAGACGCCGCGACTCGCTGTGTTGCGTCCCTTGGGCACGCCAGAAACCTCAGATCGTGGGTTCGAATCCCGGTTTGACCCGGTTTCTAGGATTGTCAGGATCCTTCAGCCGTCATCGTCATATACGTCGACGTATATGTCACAGTCTCCTCGCCGACATCACCACCGGAGTGGACGCTGGCGTAATGGTCGGCGGGGGCGTCACTGAAACTCGCCAAACAGACTTGTATCATGCACTGTTCCCAAAGACTATGGGGATGCCTAGTGGTTAAGTTGTTCACTCGTCACACCGAAGACCAGAGTTCGTTTCCCAACGTCGATACCCATCGATACTGTGAATCAGTGTTAGAATATGGCTAAAAGTAAAATCATACTCACTCACTCCTTCGTGTCCGAAGGAGTGAGTGGACGTTGTTTAACGCCGCCACAAGCCATGTTCCAGCTACATCAGCTGTACATAATGGCGCCAAATAATGCAGGAAACATCCGAGTTTGTGCCATTTACACTCTTTTAAAGATGATGTTTCTGAGTAATTCTAAGTTTGCCAACCTGAGGTTTACATACAGAAATGTTAATAACAATAACTGATAATGCATGACCGTAGTTGCGTTTCATTAGTTCTTGGATATAGTTCAACTACTGCTAAATCAAGATAAGCAAGAAGAGCCTTACATGTTGGAATGGTTTATCTCAATGGAAGATGTCCTATTGCATGATGGCATGGGGAGCACACTTGCAGAGGGGTCATGGGTTGGCATCAACATCATCGTAGCAAGGCTTCCACGGTCTAGTGGACAGAGTGTCTCCCCGGAGAGCGGAGGGTTAGTGGTTCCATCCCCGGCCGCGTCACACCTACAGACGTCAAAAATGATACTGACTGGTGCTGAGACCGCCAAGATATTGCTAGTTTTTTGTTGAATGCGTCGTTAAGCAACAAACCAAAAAAACAAAAATAGTACCTGTTGTTACCTTGCCTGGAGCTCGTCAGTAAGGGGATCTACAAAAAGTCTGTGTCTACTCCAAGAATATTTAGGGGACCGCCATCGTCTTCTGGCAGAGTGTCTGCTCAGAGAGCTGAAGGTCAAACAGCCACACACACACACACACACACACACACACACACACACACACAGACACACACACACACACACACACACACACACACACACACACACACGCACGCACACGCACACACACACACACACGGATGTACGTCACTAGTCACTACATAAGCGCAATAATCTTGAACGTGACGTTATACATCATTCTGTCTCACCTCACCTCACCTCCAAGAATATTAAACCAGTATATCAAACATCTAATTTCGGTATTGAAAATCGAGTGCTCACTGATCCATTGACCAGGGTAATAATAGTTATTATTAGTTATTAATAGTTATTATTATTATTATTATTATTATTGTTATTTTTATTATTATTATTGATGTATAACGGGTATAGTCCACTTTCGACATAGACAATACAACTGGGTGTTGATGGACCAACAGATAAGAATTGTTTACAGTTGTATCGATGACATCCCCATACTTCTGATCCATATAAGAGGATTGGTTAAATTTGGGCATCAGTTACTTTTACTGATACATTTCGTGTAAAAGTTCCCACTTTCTGCTGCGAGACAAACATTTAATTAATGCTTTCTTTGTACGTAATGTTGAGGTTTTGATTTTTATGTTCATTGTATGGGTAAACATAACACCATTATATGTATAATGATTCACAACATTTACACATTTACCATTGAAATACAATCTTTCATTCAATACCACCTGACCCCCCCTTTCTGAAAATGACAATATTTGTTTCATCGTAATTAAGTGATAGTGTAATATTCTAAAATGTTAAGTTGTTTTTTGTAGTCGCACAACAAAATCTGAAACTAATTCGACATTGTCGGCAAAAAGAAGCATGGAAAATGCTATTACATCTGAGAAATTTTGAATAGTATGTTTACCGTTAGCCATTATTTCATAATACAATTCACTAATAATGAATGATAACAATATCGGGCTCAAGATACATCCTTGTCGTAAGCAGTGAGTGAGTGAGTGATTATGGTTTTACGCCGCTTTTAGCAATATTCCAGCAATATCACCAGAAATGGGCTTCACACAATGTACCCATGTCGGGAATCGAACCCGGGTCTTCGGCGTGACGAACGAACGCTTTAACCACTAGGCTACCCGACCGCTCCCTTTGTCGTAAGCAAAAAAGACAGCAAAAAAACAGCTGTATCGTCACTACATCGTTCACATAATTTGATATTTGAATACATAGGTTTTAATATAGAGAAAAGTTGCTGCAGTAGACTGGTAGTGGAATAGTTTATAATGATCAAGCTTTTTTTTAAATCCACAAAGGCTACAAACACTTTGTGTTTACGTGTTATAGTCATGTTTGGATAATTGCATATATTGTAAAGATGTGATCTTGAGTATTTTCTACTAAAATCAGCTTGGGTTTCGGGAATCGCATTTCACATAAGCCCAACTCGTATGCATGGATTTAGATACTGATGTACAAATCTTCCCTAGGATAAAGCTCATTAAGGACATTCCCCTATAGTTGTCTGGGTCGTTAAAAAAACTCTCTTTTGTACTGGCAACCCATGCTTGCCGTAAAAGGCGACTATGCTTGTTGTTAGAGGCGACTAACAGGATCGGATGGTCAGGCTCGCTGACTTAGTTGATGCATGTCATTGTATACCAATTGCGTGGATCGATGCTCATGATGTCAATGATTGTCTGGCCCAGACTCGATTATTTACAGACCGCCGATATATACCTGGAATATTGCTGAGTGGCAAACAGACATACAAAGTAAACCTCAGTCCAAAAGTGTATGACAGTGTAGACATATATGTTAACGTCAATATGATAATGCTGTAACTTCTTTTAGAGGCGGGCAGTCGGGTAGCCTAGTGGTTAAAGCGTTCGCTCGTCACGCCGAAGACCCGGGTTCGATTCCCGACATGGGTACAATGTGTGAAGCCCGTTTCTGGTGTCCCCCGCCGTGATATTGCTGGAATATTGCTAAACGCGGCGTAAAACCATACTCACTCACTCACTCACTCTTTTAGAGGCATTTAGAAGTTGGAGTACTAAGTAAGGATAAGGTATATGGATGAACCACGTCTTTAATACAATTAAGAGTAGGTTTGAACACCGTAGTGTACAGAGTATGGGCGTCAAGTATTTACACAGGATAGGAGGCAGTGTTTGTACAGTTGAGAAGTTGAGATGCAGTTACACTGGAGTGGAGAAGCGCGTTATGTACACAGAAGAGTAAAACACATTGGCCGGTGAAGTCTGTAATATAAACAAAAGGGTGAAGCCAGTAATATGAACAGCAAAAGGATTAGGACTGATTGGGGTCTTTGATGAGTTGGTGGTATGCTGGTGGTATGTAGTAGCCTTGGTCACGGTTGAGTGATGGTTGGAGGCTTTTGACGTTGATGGCTTTTTATAGGTTTCTGATTTTGAAGTCTTTGAGGTTGGTGGTGAGGGCTTTGACTTTGTCCCACTGGATAGTGTGGCTTGGGTTGTCACGGATATGGTCTGATCGAGCTGATTTAGAGTCATTTTGGGAGACTGGTTGATATGGTATGAAAACAGCGATATAATAATCTTTTTATCATATACCATAAACTGTATCTATGTGCAAGTAAATGCAAAACATTTCAGCTTGTTTTAAAGTCATTGTCACGGGAAAGCTAGCTGAGCAGACGACGCACTAAGGGACGTAACCCTAATTTCTTACCACCTCGGCCGATACATTCGTGAGCAACTCGTGTTATTCCGGGACAAGCCGAATAGCGACTCGTGCCCCTCTCATGGCCATTTTTGCGACCGGGTTCCGCCTTAAGTAGCGCAAACGGGCATACCTAAAACATATGTCAACTCGTTGCGTAATGGTTCACATATATTTCCCCATATATTATATATATTTCAGATGCAATTTAAAGCCCATCTGGACATGCGGAATTATACAGTATGATTGAACACATATAACTGTGTCTTGGGTATATTTTTAAATGCATGACATGTGTAAAATCAAAAATTATTCCTGAGGGATTCTTTGATAAAGAACTTGAAATCATACGCGCATTCTTATTGGTTTGTCGTTTTTTCGCACATAACATTCATCGATAGGGGGACGAGTCTTCTTGCAGGTTACGGAAAGGGGCGGGTGGTGACGGAAAGGGGCGAGTGGTGACGAATGGGGCTGATGTAGATCAGCACGGCAGGGGGTGTGATACGGGTTTGGTTATTACACCCCCTGTGCAATGATATGTCTGTATGTTGGCACTATGTCACATGCAAAATGACTTATATCACTGACAGCTATATGATAATTTGACATTTCAAGTTGGTCGAAGAAACGCTTGTCATACCTCGTCCGTTGTAATTGGATGATGTAATCTTGTGACGTACATGTGTGCATGGTGAGTGAGTGAATTGGGTTTTAACGCCACTTTTAACGTTATTCCAGTTATATCACCGCGGGCACGCTTAATGTGGGAGGAAAGCCCGAAGTGATGCAGGTCTCAGACGTTTACCACTTCGGTGAAATTCACGAGAACGGGTATGGTGCTGACAAACCTAGAAACATAATCAGGGCGAACCGGGATTCGAACCCACAATCATAGGTTTCTGGAGGGCAACTCTGCACAGCGAATCGCGGCGCCTTAGACGACTGGGCCACCCGTGCCCCCATGTGTGCAACGATATTGAGGATAAAGAATGTTTAAGAAATACTGGTTGCCTATCATGTGAGATCGCAAATGACATACACATAACGTATTGGTAATAAAAGTTAAGATTCAACAATTGACAAATCCTGTCACTCCATCCCTAGCCATTGCGGGGGGTAGTAGTCCTCTGCTTTGTACTGTCGGCCCAGCCACGTCTTTTCCCGCGGGAAATGTTTGAAATATACAACATCACCTCCTGCCAACCACGCCCCCCACCACCCAAACGACCCGGATGTAACAATATTATGATCGCAGTGAGACAAAGTAGCCAAGTCCACCTCTGGTTTACCCTTCACGAAAATGGTATCGCCCGACTTAAGGTTGTCCTTGCACCACGTTATACTGTCAGAGCACACTATGAACAAAGGGTTCTCATACTTCTTCCGGAAGTAGCTCATTGACCTGTTCAGAAATCCGATGTCAGCAATATTATAGCCACGACTTAGTTCATATTGGGACGCCATGTCGCCTTGCCGGACATGGACTCCGATTGTTATTCGTGTCCAGTTTGCCAGAACAGGAGCCCCCTTCAGCATGTCCTTGATGACGTCATCTCGGAATTTGAACTCCTGTCTTATTGTTTCCGAGATATTTCCGAAGTATTTCCATGACTGATAATAGCCGATTAACGTCCAGTTGGCATTGTGAGACAGAGTTTGTACACTGGGGTCAAAGGTTCCAGGATCTTTCTCCCTCATGACTTTTGTTTGAGTTTTGGAGTGCTTGTTTGCTGGTGCGTTAAGTTTGAATATATTTCTCAGAAAGTGAGAGCTTGCAAGTGTTGCTGTGTAACCATGGAAACTACTCACGCCAACAAGGGACGCATATTGAAACATTGCGTTACCAAGACGACCGCCGCCATGAATTGTCATTGTGTGTGTTTTCTTGAATATTTCAGAAGTGTTCTTAGTCCGGTTTTGGCTGAGAAAAGAAACATTGAGAAATTGTTTTGGGAAGGAAGTGCCGGGGTCGACACTGGTATTATTAGTGACTTCAGATTTGGGGGTTTGTACCAGCGTTGTTGGTGTAAATGAACGTGTGATGACGTCTCTTCTCTTTCTTAGAGTGTCTTGAACTAATTGTCCAGTCTCACGCCTGGGTAAAACCCTCCCTGTCTTCTTTGTTTCGGGTGTGACGTCACTCGTAATCATGACGTCATCGACCTTATGACTGTGAAGCAGCACTAGAATCCCGGAAGCCACGAGACCAAGAAGCAGTGCCACCTTTCTCCGGCGTCGACAGAACCGCATTCCAGAAGGAGGTTAGACATGGTCTCAGTCGGATACACGTGGGTCGATGTATCGCGACGTGACGGTAATATTGGAGATATGTAATTTCGTCATGGGTCGTGGCAATATTGACCTGAAACAAACGTGATAATGCCAGTTAAATAATGACAATAAACATAACAGTACGTGGGGTAAGTCATCTCACATTTCAAAATTATTAATTCATACATATATATCACTGCATATGCCTCAGTGTGTACAAATCTCGTTATCTCGGAAATACAATAGAGAGAGAGAGAGAAGGGGGGTGGGGGGGGGGGGGGGGGGGGGGTGGAATGGGGGAGAGAGAGAGGGGGAGAGAGAAAGTGAAAGTGAAATACTTCACAGGTGAGAAGTGGGAGAGAGGGGAGTGTAAGGTGAGAAGTGGGAGAGAGGGAGTGAAAGGTGAGAAGTGGGAGAGAGGGGGTGAAAGGTGAGAAGTGGGAGAGAGGATGGCACGTGAGAAGTGGGAGAGAGGGGGTGAAAGGTGAGAAGTGTGAGAGAGGGGACGAAAGTTGAGAAGTGGGAGAGAGGGGGTGAAAGGTGAGAAGTGGGAGAGGGGATGGCAGGTGAGAAGTGAGAGAGAGCGGGTGAAAGGTGAGAAGTGGGAGAGAGGATGGCAGGTGAGAAGTGGCAGAGAGGGGGTGAAAGGTGAGAAGTGGGAGAGAGGGGGTGAAAAGTGAGAAGTGAGAGAGAGGATGGCACGTGAGAAGTGGGAGAGAGGGGGTGAAAGGTGAGAAGTGAGAGAGAGGATGACACGTGAGAAGTGGGAGAGAGGGGGTGAAAGGTGAGAAGTGAGAGAGAGGATGGCAGGTGAGAAGTGGGAGAGAGGGGGTGAAAGGCGAGAAGTGGGAGAGAGGGGGTGAAAGGTGAGAAGTGAGAGAGAGGGGATGGCAGGTGAGAAGTGGGAGAGAGGGGGTGAAAGGTGAGAAGTGTGAGAGAGGGGGTGAAAGTTGAGAAGTGGGAGAGAGGGGGTGAAAGGTGAGAAGTGGGAGAGGGGATGGCAGGTGAGAAGTGGGAGAGAGGGGGTGAAAGGTGAGAAGTGAGAGAGAGGGGGTGAAAGGTGAGAAGTGGGAGAGAGGATGGCCGGTGAGAAGTTGGAGAGAGGGGGTGAAAGGTGAGAAGTGGGAGAGAGGGGGTGAAAGGTGAGAAGTGAGAGAGAAGATAGCACGTGAGAAGTGGGAGAGAGGGGGTGAAAGGTGAGAAGTGAGAGAGAGGATGGCAGGTGAGAAGTGGCAGAGAGGGGGTGAAAGGTGAGAAGTGGGAGAGAGGGGGTGAAAGGTGAGAAGTGAGAGAGAGGGGATGGCAGGTGAGAAGTGGGAGAGAGGGGGTGAAAGGTGAGAAGTGGGAGAGAGGATGGCAGGTGAGAAGTGGGAGAGAGGGGGTGAAAGGTGAGAAGTGGGAGAGAGGGGGTGAAAGGTGAGAAGTGGGAGAGGGGGGGGGGTGAAAGGTGAGAAGTGAGAGAGAGGGGGTGAAAGGTGAGAAGTGGGAGAGAGGATGGCAGGTGAGAAGTGGGAGAGGGGATGGCAGGTGAGAAGTGGGAGAGAGGATGGCCGGTGAGAAGTGGGAGAGAGGGGGTGAAAGGTGAGAAGTGGGAGAGAGGGGGTGAAAGGTGAGAAGTGGGAGAGAGGGGGTGAAAGGTGAGAAGTAAGAGAGAGGGGGTGAAAGGTGAGAAGTGGGAGAGAGGATGGCAGGTGAGAAGTGGGAGAGGGGATGGCAGGTGAGAAGTGAGAGAGAGGGGGTGAAAGGTGAGAAGTGGGAGAGGGGGGGGGTGAAAGGTGAGAAGTGGGAGAGAGGGGGTGAAAGGTGAGAAGTGGGAGAGAGGGGGTAAAAAGGTGAGAAGTGGGAGAGAGGGGGGGGGAGGTGAGAAGTGGGAGAGAGGGGGTAAAAAGGTGAGAAGTGGGAGAGAGGGGGGGGGGGGAGGTGAGAAGTGGGAGAGAGGGGGTAAAAAGGTGAGAAGTGGGAGAGGGGGGGTGAAAGGTGAGAAGTGGGAGAGAGGGGGGGGGAGGTGAGAAGTGAGAGAGAGGGGGTAAAAAGGTGAGAAGTGGGAGAGGGGGGGTGAAAGGTGAGAAGTGAGAGAGAGGGGGTGAAAAGGTGAGAAGTGGGAGAGAGGGGGGGGGGGAGGTGAGAAGTGGGAGAGAGGGGGGGGGGGGAGGTGAGAAGTGGGAGAGATGGGGTAAAAAGGTGAGAAGTGGGAGAGAGGGGGGGTGAAAGGTGAAAAGTGAGAGAGAGGGGGTGAAAGGTGAGAAGTGGGAGAGAGGGGGTAAAAAGGTTAGAAGTGGGAGAGAGGGGGGGGGGGGAGGTGAGAAGTGGGAGAAAGGGGGTAAAAAGGTGAGAAGTGGGAGAGAGGGGGGGGGGGGGGGGGGAGGTGAGAAGTGGGAGAGAGGGGGTAAAAAGGTGAGAAGTGGGTGAGAGGAGTGTGACAAGTGGCAAGTGGGAGGGAGGTGGTCACTATTACAATTATATATCTCGCCTACACGTGGGACTATTGCAGTATATATGACACCTACATGTGGCACTATTAGAGTTTCTATCACACCTACATGTGACACCATTACAGTATACAGCTCACCTACATGTGGCACTATTAGAGTATATATCACACATATATGTGGCACTATTGGAGTATATAGCCGGCCTATATGTGGAGAGAGAGGGGGTAAAAAGGTGAGAAGTGGGTGAGAGGAGTGTGACAAGTGGCAAGTGGGAGGGAGGTGGTCACTATTACAATTATATATCTCGCCTACACGTGGGACTATTGCAGTATATATGACACCTACATGTGGCACTATTAGAGTTTCTATCACACCTACATGGGGCACTATTACAGTATATATCACACTTACATGTGGCACTATTACAGTATATATCACACCTACATATGACACTATTACAGTATTAACACACCTCCCTGTGGCACTATAAAAGTATATATCACACCTACATGTGGCACTATTACAGTATATATCACACCTACATGTGGCACAATTAGAGTATATAGCTCGCCTATATGTGGGCACTATAACAGTCTGTATCACACTTACATATGGCACTACTACAGTTTTGACACACCTACCTGTGTCACTATTAGAGTATAAATCACACCTACATGTGGCACTATTACACTTTATATCACACCTACTTGTGGCACTATTAGAGTATAAAGCTCACCTACATGTGGGTACTATTACGGTATATATCACACCTACATGTGGCACTATTACAGTATATATATCGCTTATATGTGGGTACTATTACGGTATATATCACACCTACATGTGGCACTATTAGAGTATATAGCTCACCTATATGTGGGCACTATTACAGTATATATCACACCTACATGTGACACTACTAGAATATATAGCTCGCCTATATGTAGGTAGTATTCACGCCTACATGTTAAACGACCAGTCTAGACTATGTTGACAAGTGAGCGATTGCAGGAGCATGACTCAAGTCACAATCAATCAACTCACATCCCCGAGCTCTGGTCACTATTTCAGTCGTCATGGACAACACGCACACACTACTGAGGACATACCTGAATCCCTCGAGAATGAGCTTCCTCCGTTAAGGGGAAGTTCCAGTTTACAGGACAACGTATTTAAGTGGAACTATCACTTGACAACTCCCATGGGGATGTCAAACTGTATGTCACTGTTGCCATGGCGTCGACTTGTCATCGCGTATTGCAGCTGACGTTATGGAAGCCAGGCTGGGCACGTGCTGAATGAGGACACTCCCTGAATTATAACTGCCACATTGACGGTATGTCTGGCACCTCCTGACCCAGACGCTTGATGGTGACATGATTAGAAAGCTGTCAGTGTTTGTTTGTTTGTTGTTTAACGCCGCACTCAGCAATATTCCAGCTATATGACGGCGGTCTGTAAATAATCGAGTATGTATGTATGTATGTATGTATGTATGTATGTATGTATGTATGTATGTATGTATGTATGTATGTATGTATGTATGTATGTATGTATGTATGCATGCATGCATGTATCGAATCTGAAGTACTCAGATCGCCTTTGTGAGTGAGTGAGTGAGTGAGTGGGTGGATCGGTGAGAGGGTGAGTGAGTGAGTGAGTGAGTGGGTGGGTGGGTGAGAGGGTGAGTGAGTGAGTGAGTGAGTGAGTGGGTGGGTGGGTGAGAGGGTGAGTGAGTGAGTGAGTGGGTGGGTGGGTGAGTGAGTGAGTGAGTGAGTGAGTGAGTGAGTGAGTGAGTGAGTGGGTGAGAGGGTGAGTGAGTGAGTGAGTGGGTGGGTGAGTGCGTGAGTGAGTGAGTGAGTGAGTGAGTGAGTGAGTGAGTGAGTGAGTGAGTGAGTGGGTGGGTGAGTGAGTGAGTGAGTGAGTGAGTGCGTTGGGTTTAACGCCGCTTTGAACAGTATTCCAGTTATATCACGGCGTGTCAGCTTAATGTGG